CCTCCTTGTACAACATTTATTGTATCATCTTGTAAAAGATCAGTGATTGGAGTGAGCGTCTGAACCTTGGTCAATCCTAACAAAGAGTAGAACTAAGATAGATGATGTTCGTTGAAGTAGAAATCAACCTTTAATCAATTTTAGCGGTCTGCAAGAAAGTTGCGAATCCTATGACAACTAATGTGTGTTCCTCTATAACATTATCATCGTATAATAAACGTTATCAGAAAAAACTTCGCCTCGGGCAATAAATGACGGTATTACCTTGGCAAGATCAGCTTTGGGGGTTGTTAATTGATCATAAAAGCAAATTAAAAGCTCCCCATAAATATAAGGCGCGTTTACGTCCACGTGAGTTGTGGCTCGTCTCCGAACAGAAATAATGGGACATGTCACCTTGTCATAAAAGTTATAGTCTATAAATTTCGGCTTAAGGGAGTCCGAGAAACAGATTGATGAAGATAACGCTCAAAGTTTTATTATAACTGTGTGTTCTTTTTCGAAACGGATACTTTATTATTTTACATGCCTTTTATGAGGGACGTGATGTAAATCCGAAGGAATCTGCCGCGTACATGAACGTTAGTGTACAGTTTTCTCTAAGTAGATTCCACTGACATGTTTCTGTGACCGTTTTTCTATTGTTACTTTCTAAAATCTGTAAGCGTCGCTTTAAGGTAACTTTTTTCCTAATAACTCTAACGTTTCCCAAGATTCAGTTCTATCACAACAACATTTTACAGTGGACCCCCGGTAATCCGACAAACATTATGCAGATCAGTGTCGGACTATCGAATTTGTCGGATTATAGAGCACTGCCTAAGACCCCTATAGTCCGGAATTTTTTACAAAAGAGTACCTTGTAATACGACAAATTACATATCCAATGGTAAGATTATGTACTATTTGAGTAATCAGGGTCAAGTTGGTAACCGTAGATCTGCAGCTCATGAATCCATGCTGATTGACAGAGATTGCACCCTTAACAGACCAGTAAACCGTATTATAAACTATGCTCTCAAACAAGAATTGCTATTTGTCGGTAGCTGGAAACATCTGCGATATCACCACTCTTATGAATGGGACATATTTTGGTGGTCTTCCAGATACCTGGATATATCCCTAATTTAAGAATTAGATTAGATACTGAAGCCAACGGTTTAGCCAGTATACAGGGTTATCCAAATTAAGTGTCCACCATTAGTAACTTTGTTATTAGTGAAAATACAAAGTTGTTTGAATTAGCAAACTAGTAGCATTTTTAACGCTGGTAAAAATGAGAAATAAAAAAAAAACAATTGAGAGTCGTTATTTTGATTTTTTTCAGTAAAATAACATTTTTTTAAATGGAAACCCCTGTATATTATATTTTTTTCTGTTAAAGCATCAAATTTTAAACAAAAAGGCTTACAATAACTTTTCTCCTAGGTTACAAATTGTTGAAGTTATGGCCTCCAATCTGAAACAATTAAATTGTATCGACAAACTTTATTTTCAACATCAACTTATAATCTTACAAAATACAATAACAATTTTTTTTAAAGAAGATGCTCGAAAACACCACCTTGTTCTTCAATACATTTTTGGGCACGTTTTTCAACTGCTCGAACTGTCTTAAGTATGGTCCTACCATCTATCTGGGTTATCTTTTCCCTAACTGCAGTCTTTAACGCGTCAAGGTTATCGTACCTTCGCTTGTAAATTTGGTTCTTTAAGTAACCCCACAAGAAGTAATCAAGTGGGTTTAGATCTGGTGATCTGGGAGGCGACTGTATTGGGCCATTTGTTCCTATCCACTGATCATTAAAAGTAGTACTTAGAAAATGATAAGTACCTCTGGAGTTGTGGGCAGGTGCGCCATCTTGCTGAAAATGCAGATGATGTCTACTTATAAGATCCAATTCGTCTAAGAAATTAGTCAGAATTTCTGACATAAATTCCACATATCTTTCACCAGTTAGGGTTCCCTCATAAAAGAACGGGCCAACAATTTTTGAACCAATTATACCGCACCAAACGTTGAAACTGAAACGGACTTGTGGGCCTCTTGGATGTACTAACAAAAGATTTTCTCTTGACCAATAATGGTGGTTTTTTCTATTAAACATTCCAGAATTTGAAAAATTTGATTCATCTGTCCATAAAAGGTAACGAAAGTTATTTACATTTTGGCGACAGAAGCTAAGATACCAATGGCAAAAAACAAGTCTTCTCTCTGGATCCCCTGCCAAAAGCGTTTGAACTGGTCGGTGCTTATACGGAATAAATTTGTATTTTTTAAGATCCTTTGAACAGTACCATAACTGAAATTAGAGTCCTTGAGAATATCTGCTATTGAATTCTCACGATAAGCTTCAAAATATCCAATAACTGCAATTTCCGTGGCCTCGCTTATTATGAATTCTTTTTTTGCCCTTGTTTTAGCAAAAACATTTTCGTTGCCCCTAAATTTTCGATAAAGTCTCAGAAAATATCGTTCATACGGTTGAATGCGAGCGGGATATAATTCACTGTAGTATTCTCTTGCTCTCAAGGAGGATTTTCTGCACACTAAATAGCATTCTAACATATCACTTTTCTTCATGGGAGAACATTTTTCTTTAAATTAATGACACAATAAAGCTTATAAACAAGTATTTACACTAATGTTTGACATTATTTGATTTTATCATTGTTTTCCAAAGCCTTCTAGTTGCGAGTATGTCCAGTTTAACAATTTGTCGCTTATCTTAATGCTGTCAAATCGCGAACGCCATGTTGTTTTCATAGCCGTCTTAATATTATAATACTGCAAATAATTAAAAATATTTATCGTTATTTTGACTTTATTTTTGACTTTAGCGGAAAAGTCATTATGAACTTTTTTGTTTAAAATTTGATGCTTTAACAGAAAAAAATATAATATACAGGGGTTTCCATTTAAAAAAAATTTATTTTACTGAAAAAAATCAAAATAACGACTCTCAATTGTTTTTTTTATTTCTCATTTTTACCAGCGTTAAAAATGCTACTAGTTTGCTAATTCAAACAACTTTGTATTTTCACTAATAACAAAGTTACTAATGGTGGACACTTAATTTGGATAACCCTGTATGAATACGATCTCTCACAAGAAAACTTGGGACACCATCACATTCAAATGTCATTTTGTTCTTTAATTTCTTCACAGCCATGATAACATCATCTTCGCTTATATAATTCAGAGAAATACTGTTGGATTTAGTCGTTGAAGATAAGTTCCTTTGTGGATTAGAGTGTATAAAAAAAGTGTCTACGATATCCTGAGGAGTATCGGAGACATTGCCATTAAGGCTCATTCTAGATGGAATTCTAGATTGCTGTTTTTTAATATGAACGAATGACCAGAATTTAATAGGATCTGTGACAATATCATCCTGGATGTACGCAGAATATGCAGCGTTGATTTGGTTTTTAATCAGCCTTCTAAGATTACTAAGCTGAGTAACGTTTCCAGTTACCCTGTCTTTTTCATCCAGATTAACTATGATCTCACGTGTGAACCATGGTAGATATGAAAACTGTTTACTTTTACATTTACGAACACTGACCTCAAATATGTTATTGATTACAGAATGTAAGGCAACACAAGCGTCGCCCACACTGTCTGCATTGATCACCTGAGTCCAATTAACGTCCAGGAAGGCTCTGTACATTGCAGGGTATCTAGCTTTACGAAAATTGTACCTTGTAGAATTTGCAAATGAAAATTTTCTTTGAGACCCGGATGTCTGATCATCGCAGGATGATGGACATCCTCTTTAACTAACGGTGAACTATCCCTGATGACTTGTATGTCACGATTTCCTAAAATCAGATCCAACATTCGACCGTTTACGTTCAAACATTATGGAAGTTAATTAAGTCATGAAACGAGATGAAGCTTCTTATTAATCGTAACTTCTGATCATTGATATCGCTACTGAACGACACGACATTAAAGTCGCTAGTGATAATCACTTTACAGTAACTGAAAGCATTGTTGAATACTTCAAGGGCTTCAAGGTACTAACTGGACGCCATGTTTTTCATATGTCTGCCTCTACAACCACTAGACTTTGGGCAATCCCACCTTGTATTATTATGTGCGGTTTGCTTTAGAGCAGAGTTCCCTAAACTTTTTTGTGTCGTAGACCCCTTGCCATATTTTTCGTGTTGGGTAGACCCCCTACTTACCTGATATTGATTTCCTGTAAATTTCCAACTGCAGTGAAGTTTAGTGTTAAAAACTTAAAGTAAAAACACATGTTAATTTATATATTATATATTTATATTAATTGAATTTAAATTAAAACTACTGAAAATAAAATTTTGTATCTGTTATGTAAAGTATACGTAACGTTAAATAAGCAGGTGTCTGACCAATAAGTGCCCCCGCATTGGGAATAAGTGCCCGCATTGAAAAAAAAATAACAGGGATAAAATAAAAAAAAAGTGAAAACTAATAAAATAAAAAGTTTTTTTACTTAAAATAGTATAATAAGCGAGTTCGTTTATTAATTATAACATAAACGTATGTTCTACAATAATTTCACTGTTCGTTTGATTAAATTCCGCTTCTTATACGTTTAAGTTATCTAAAAATAGGCAAAAAAATAACGAATTTTAGTGTGTACCTATCCATGAATTTTCAGAATAATTTAAAAAAAAATATTTTCTATAAAGGGGGGTTCTTTAAAAAAATCAATGCGGGCACTTATTCCCAATGCGGGCATTTATTGGCCAGACACCAATAAACATAAAATAAACTATAAATAAAATAACATAAGCAATAAGTCAATATTTTTAGTGAGAAGGATGAACCTGATGCTTTATAAATTATCAACATTTGGCGTCAATTTTGTAATTGTAATTTTGTAATCTTAAATCTCCTCGGCTAATGATGTCCAGTCTGTTTCTTTTTTTCGTCAGGAGATTGGTAACAGCGCTGAACCCCCTTTCCACTAGGTATGACGATGGAAAGGAAATTAAAGATTTCCTCGCTATATTCCATAATACGGGATAAGTAACGGGTATGTTGTTTTGCAGCCAGAATTGCTGATATCCGTTTTTAAACTGAACCTTGAGTTCTTCGTTTGTACAGTCAGTTGCTCTGGTATTATCACATTCGTTTCTTCTATGTCACCATATGGATTAATTATCCACGGTGGTATTACCATAGCCAAAATATCCTCAAACCTAGATTCAAAATCTGAATAGAGGGCATTTAAATGTTGAATGTATGTTGAAACGTCGTCTTCCTGGCCGCTTGTCTGTGACAAATTGGGGAACTGAGAAAATTCGCCCCGTCCAATATTTTGCTTCATTAGTTTAACTCTGGCAAGAAACGCTGATAAGAGATGGAATTTTTTTTAATCAAAAATAAACTGTCGCCTTGTAATTGCAAATTAACCATATTAAATTCTGTAAACAAATCTGTTAAATAGGCGATGTCTGTTTTCCTCTTCATTAAATTTTCTTTTAAAATTTTATCTTTAGTATCCAGAAATTCTAAAATAGTCTCAAAAAGTGCAAAAAATCTTGTCAAACATAAGCCTTTCGACAGTCAGCGTACTTCAGTGTGAAGGAGTAATTGATGAAAGTGTTCGTCATTTTCTTCACACAACTGCGCAAATACCCGCGTATTCAACGCGTTGCTTCGGTTTCGGGTTACTGCATCAATGACTAAATGAAGTGATTCATGCAATCTAACACTCAAATGTTTAGCAACTAAATGTTTTCGATGGATGACGGAATGTATTGCTAACACCTCTGACACATTTTGTTTTAAATAGCTTATAAATCCACGATAACGTCCAACCATGGCAGGTGCTCCATTTGTAACTACTGATACTATATTTGATAAAGGAATTGCTTTTTCGATGAAGTAATCCTTCAAAACATGAAATATTGATTCACCTTTAGTGTCGGTTATCAAAGTTCTTGCGAAGAGCAGCTCTTCGTAGGTTTCTTGATTCATAATAAAACGAACATATGCCAATAATAATGCTGCATTATCAGGTAAAGTTGACTCGTCCAGTTGTATAGAGAAATGGGTCGTTTGCAAATAATTACATAAGAAGTTTTCAATATCAGAACTCATTTCATCAATACGTCTTTCAACAGTATTGTTGCTTAAGGGAATTCTTTTAATGATATCAGATGCAGGTTTGTGTAAAACAGTTTTTAAAACCTCTTCAACGGCTGGCAAAATTAACTTCTCTCCGATAGTATGCGGTTTTCCGGATTTTGCTATAAGTAGCAAGATATTGTAAGACGCCCGCAAACCATCATCATTTCTTTGTGACGTCGAAGCGAACATTCTGTCCAATGTAGGTCTCTTCTAAAATTTATCTTTGAGTGTTTGAAAGTATTTCAAATCTTTCTCTGTTTTATCAGGGTGGCATCTTCTCAGATGATCTTGCAGTTTAGATGATTTCATAGCGTCATTGCCCAAAACTTTGTTGCATAAAAGGCACATAGGCGATTGTTTGTCCGGCAATGATGGAATGAAGCCAAATTTCAAATAATCAACACTGTACTGTATACGTTTCTTTTTAGATTCGGACATAACATCAGTCATCTGTGGGCAAAATTAAATTATTTAAATAAAACAGAAAATCCAGCTATGTACTCGTATATTAAAAATATTTGTTGATTTTTCCGAAAGCATTCCATAATTCGAACATCTTCTTGCAACAATTAGCTCGAATTACGGAGATTGCACTGTAATTATATTCCTGATTGCTAAAACTTTCAAAAAGAAACTATTGAGGAGTACTCGTGTAATTTTGCATGATTAAATATTTAACTACTAATAACTAAAGTCGTGATTGGCGTAATTTATCTATCTTTGCTAACTACGAGTACAAAACTAAAATTTAATAAAAAATAATGTACTTACTTTTCTCCAGCACTCTCAAACAAAATAACACTGACTCACTATAATTTGTGTGATATACTGTCTGTTTATATTGTTTAAAATATTTTCTTAGCACTTTCCTTTTCAAGATTCAGGAAACGAATAAACGTATTTGTCCCACATTCGTATTTATAGAGTGACGAATTGAACAAGTCAGTGCAAGGAAGCGAAGCTCTGAGACTGCGACTCTCAGGTTTTTACAAGTTCAAAATGTATTGCGACCACAAAGCGAATACCAACATCCTACAACTTACACAATTTTATAAACATATATAATAAATTTTTTACTTCATAGGTACTACTATAAATAATGTATGTTTTGATATTATAAGATAGTATGATGTAAGTAAATAGGTACTATCAGTGTATGTGTTGAGATCCAGTATCGTGGACCCCCATATTCATTTCATGGACCCCCAAATCTTTTTTCGTTGACGTAGACCCCTTGCAGGTTGTCATAGACCCCTAGGTGTCTATATAGACCACTTTGGGATCAATGCTTTAGAGTGAGATTATTGCGCCTGTAATTCTTCGAAATAATGTAGAACATCTCCACCACCCTGTATAAAACTTTATTAAACGCTCGGTTACACCAGACCAACAAATATGAAAATTACAGAGAGTAATTCAGTAATCTTCCACGGTATATTTCGAGGCGAACGTCTAAAAAGGGAGGATGTATCCGTGACAGAGGTTATTAAAAACCTGCCCAGTCATCATATCCATTGTGAATTCATAAAATTGACTACTGATACCGAACCATTTTTTTACGGTCGCAGCCGGCATGACTGCGCAGATCAGCCACGAATCCATTCATAACCATACGGACTCAGTTATGATCCAGGAAAGTTCATACTATTTAGGGAATATTATGCTAGATCCACAAAACTCAAAAATGATAATTTGTAACTGAGTTTTGAAGCAAAATACCGACTGTTAGAGCTTTTCGCACATTACTTGACAACTCTCAACTTTGCAGGACCTTTTTTTCAGAATTATCCAAAAAACATAGAAAAAGTTGTTTGAATCAAAGAACAATTTTGTTCTTTTGTAGCTACAAAACAAATTATCCACGTTTTCCTTAAATTTCCTTGTACACTCAAGTAGGTATGCACTGAGACTGAGGCGATATGATATGAATATTTTATTTAATTTTCTCTGCGACAGTTTCGTCTTTTGTTAGCATTTATGGGTTTGTCTTGTAACGTCGCACCGCTGGTCAACGACAGCAGAGTGTAGTCGTCGATTCGCAAGTCAAAAAGAAAATAATAAGCAAATAAACATGTCCGGACGAGGAAAATGCGGAAAAGTTAAAGGAAATGCAAAATCCAGGTCTAGCAGGGCCGGTTTGCAATTCCCTGTAGGTCGTATACACAGATTATTGCGTAAAGGAAACCATGCCGAGCGCGTCGGTGCCTGAGTTCCTATGTACCTTGCCGCCGTTATGGAGTACTTGGCAGCCGAAGTGTTGTTTTTAAGTAAATCACAACAATAGTTTTTCGCTTCGGTAAAAGTGTTTCTTTAGGATATTCCGAACAAAAAAAAGGAGGTGTAGAACTTTCTCAAGTGGATCTCGATTCGCAAGCAAATTACTGGCTGAAAAACCCTAAGAATTGGTATTTCCTATGCTTAAATTACAATTATTGAGAATGACGGAAAATAGTATAACAATTTATACAGTACTTTCTCGCCAATTGACGTATAAGGTAATACGAATCTTTATTCTACAATAGCAAACCACGGTTGCACAACGATATCTTCTCAGACGGAACCGAATTCTTAGGAACTCATATTGATGAGTCACATGTGAATCATGTCATTAAGAAACTCAATAGTGCATACTTTGCAATCTTGAAACTCAAACAAAACATCTCCCAAACAGCTCTTATAGATATCTACTACGCCTTGGCTTACCCGCATCTTAGCAATAATATAATACTATGGGGACAAGCAGTCATGAACAACAGAGTCTTTATCTTGCAGAAAAGAGTACTCAGGCTAATTTTCAATATCAACAAAAGAGACTCTTGTACAGATATTTTCAGAACATATAATCTGCTAACTTTAATATCCATCTATATATATAAATGCGCTCTCTTCGCATTTAAACATAGGACCAGTTTTATTCAAAACAACACAGTTAACAGGCACTACAACACCAGAATAGGTTTTGACTTAAGTATACCAGTCCACGCAACAGCCCAGTTTCAGAAATCACCACTCTATGCCTGTACAAAAATTTACAATAAACTACCAATTGAGTTCCGCAGAAGCACTAATATGTTGACATTAAAGAAACGTCTGAGAAAATATCTATCAGAAAAGTGTTACTACGCCGTCGACGAATACCTAACTGCTTAATTTTATTTATTTATTCTTTTTATTTATTTATTAAGCTTAGCGGAAAAGAAACAGTCTATTTATCGCTCCTCTTCTAGACATTTTAAGTGCTCAATCGTTTTTATTTATTTAAAATTGATTTTTTTTTCATGTTCGTTTGATGTCATTAAGAATTTGATCGTGTTTGTAATGACTCCTATTTTATTTATTTATTTATTTATTATTTATTATCTCAATTACTGTTTTAATTAACTACCTGTTCTTTTTTGCATATCGCATACTTATGTATTGTATATGTAATGTTGACAAGTCTTATGTCATAGCTATTTATGACCAAAAGACAATAAAGACTATCTATCTATCTATCTATCAGATCGTGAATATTCTTCAGGGTATCCATTCACGTGGCCCATATATTATAGATCGAATTCCTTATTCAAAAATGTTGCTTCAACTGCTTGTATTTTACCAGAAGATGTACCCGCCTTTCTTCGAAAAATTTTATTAATTTTGAATTGTGATTTCTGGGAAGAATTTAGTACAGCCTTATGCCGTAAATACTGTAAAAATTCACAGCGTTTTAGGTATATTTTTTTTTTTCAGAAAAAATGCATTTTGAGCTTAATAAGCACCCAGTATAGATGATAGAAAGCATTTGAGAAAAAGTTGGAATGACGAGAAAATATGGGATATCAAGCACGTTTTGGCTCTATTTGGAAAGCTGGCAAAGTGGCTTTCTCGAACAAAATATCCCGTATCTCCAGAGGTAGTCCTTCCCTTGAGAAGGCCTTTCAGAATATACTAAAATTTACAGGGTATTTCAGATAAAAGAATGCATGCTTCGGTTGCCACATAGTTTCGGATCACCCTGTAATTTCCAAGTAAGGAGCGACCAGTTGCATACACTTTTGTAATTAACTTTCAATGTGTCCTTAAAAATAACGAAGCTATCGACCGAGGATGCTCCAAGAGTTTCATACGATAATGCCTGTACTATTGCTGAACACTGAGCACAATTCCAACTTCAACGACATTATTAAAAAAATGTCAAAGGACGTCGAATTGACGACCTACCACATGGTTGCATGTGGGCCAGACTTCATTGAAAAACACGGTATTTATATAAGGGTTATTGTGAAGATAATTAGTTATTTTCCGAACAATTGGTAAAGATACCGCTATCCGTACCAGGGATCTTATTAATGATGTGTCATGTGCAAGTCGTCATTTTGTTAATGGTCCTGACCAGTGTTACGAAATTGGCATGCGGTGACGATCAACAGTTTACAGTGTACAGTTCATTTTAAGCTGGTTTCGGTATCTAGTGGCAGTAAAAAGATAAAGTACAAACTTTATACCCTGGGTGAGCTTGAACAGGGATTATTTTTGAATAGTGAAAAAGGAGAATTTATCCAAAGTAGCACAAGAAATAGACAATGCGAAAACGGTGACTCGGTTGTTGAAGTCATAATGAATACTTAGGTTTTTCTATTCAGTAAATTTTGTTTTAGATTCTTAAGGTGCGTTTCCATTCTAACCAGTTGCTACATATGTTGCAGACACGTTGCATCACATATTGTGGGCAGTCAGTTAGGCCATTTTCGTACTTGATCCATTCTCAACTAAAAATCTGTCCGCAAGCCATTGTATATTTGCTTCGTCGAACCGATATAATTTTTTGAAGTCACGAACAGGTGAAGGAAATCGAGGTTTGTACGTTTTAACATCCCTAACATCCACAATTTCCATTATCATCGTTTGACTACCTTTCGTAACGAAGTTGAGTCTGCTAGTGACCACACTTTTGGAAGGATATGCTTCTTATGCCAAGCATAAGGTGAAGATTATGAATATCCTTCTACTTATGTCACTGCTTTGAAGGATATGCTCATACACAAAAAGCAAAACGTTTGCTCATATTGTACATCTAATCAATTCATGTATTGAGAAAGGCTACTTTCCCACTCTGTGGACACATGCCTTAGTTATTCCTATCCCCAAAGTTAACAAACCAACCCAGCTTTCAGATTTACGACCAATAAGTTTATTGCCGGTGTTATCAAAAATCTTAGAAAAGATCGTTCAGATTCAAATAACAGCTTACATTGAAGAATGCAAAATCTTATCCACTAATCAGTCTGGTTTCATAAAACACTATAGAACAACAGCTGCCTTATTAAACCTATGCAACAATGTGCTACGTGCGCTTGATAAAAAGATCACAGTAGCTTTGATATCGGTTGATTACTCTAAGGCATTTGATAGAATCAGTCATATCCTTCTTCTAGCTAAATTGAAATATATTGGCTTTGATAATACCTCACTTAAATTTTTTTGTGCTTATTTAACCGACCGAGTTCAGGAAGTTTCTCTACCTAGACAGAGCTCTGTCCCAAGGGTCATACCATCTGGAGTGCCTCAGGGTTCTATCCTAGGTCCTCTCTTATTCCTCATCTACACCTTCAATCTACGTATATATGCAGTAATGGAAAATTCTGAAATGCAATCTTTTGCAGACGATACCCAAATAGTACATAATTTTAAAGCTAGTGAATTACCAACAGCTAGTATAGAGCTACAACATGGTATTGACATGGTTTGTAAATATTCAGCCAATCATAATTTATTAGTTAATCCTGAGAAGTCAAAAATCATAGTTTTCTGTTCTGATAATAAAAGAAATTACGTCAAAGGTAACCTTAATATCTGTATTGACAGACATCTCCTTCAGGTTGGTACTACTGCCAAGATTTTAGGTGTCGAGGTCGATGAGAAGTTAAGGTTTTATAATCATATAAACTGTCTTGCTCAAAAAACCTACCTTCGCCTACGCACTTTGTACTCTTGTAGGAACTATAAGCTCAGGAAAAAACTGTGTGGAACGCTAGTGATGTCTTGTTTGCACTACTGTAACATCCTTTATTTCGCATGCCTTGACAAAATAACGAAAAATAGAATTCAAATTATACAGAATAATTGTGTCCGTTTTATATGTGGATTGAGAAAATTTGACCATGTATCACAGAAATACAGGACGCTGAAATGGCTCAAATTTGATAAATTGGTGGAATATCGCCTAGTAGTATTTATTCACAAGGTAATAACCACTTCAAAGCCCGGTGCTCCAAGACCGCACGATCAAATACAGGTCCGCACTGAAATACTTGTCGGGAGGATACTTTATTAAACAAGGTAACATTTTTTTTTATTTTTTTTCTATTTTTACACACATATATTGGTTTATCTTCCTTCTACAGTCATTATCTGAAAATTAATGACTCAACTTCAAAGTCACCCTGTATAGGAGTGTTAGATTTTATACTTCCAACATGGTTATTTTTTAAAAGAAATGTTCCAAATTTCAGGTCTTTCTGTATAAATGGAAGATCGCAAAACGTTTTCGTATCCCCCTTGGAATCATCATAAACAATAAACAGCCTCAGGTGGGTCAATAAATACCCTCGACGAAACAATGTGATTTATAATTCACACAAAATGGTGCCCAAGCAACACACCCCAATTTTTCAACATTCTTAATTTTTAAATACCTTTATGGCACCCATTCCATTGTCCCCTGCAATAAAAGTCAAAAATTAACTCGTCTCTCGTTTTTTCAGCCAGTTTATCTACCTGTCAGCCGTCATAGATATTGCAGCTTATACTGCCCAGGGGTTAACGACAACATAAATCAAAGAGGTAAAACGTTCTTTGTAAACAATTCGCTGTATGGGTTGACCGAATTTTGCAAAACGTTCGTATATAGTATAATTTGTGCGGTTGAGTATTGGGCGATTTGAACTTCGAAGATTGTAATATCGCAAGAACACTTCCTGTTCAGATTATGCAAAGAATTTTAGTATTCCAACAAAAACAGAGGCAAGTTTGAGCCATTAACTTAACTTTTTTAATTCTCTTACACTAACGTTCCTAGCCTGAGATATGGATGAGAATAAATACAGAGCGCCGAAGCGGTTACAAATAAAAAAGTTAGCAAAGAGTAAAACATGTTTGAGGAGCGATCAGCCAAAACCAGATAAATCCACTGTTGGGCAAAAATAATTTTATGATCGATTTCTATTTCTTTTGGTGGGATAAATCCGATGGCGCAATCAGTTTCAACGAAAACTCGTTAAATCCCATTCAAAATCGACCTCAAAGTCGAGCAATTCAAGCAAAACCAGATAAATCCAGAAAATTAAATGGCACAGGGTTGTTTCGAACAAAAAGGGATAAATCCGTTTGCGAAAGCATTTCTTTTATGGTATTCTTGATGTTTTGCACATTCCTACCAATCTATTTTCGGCTCTTTCCTACGCCAAGGTCGCGTAACTCGCGTACGAATATCGGGCGGTTATAGGAAAATAATATTCATTCAGTTTAGTTCTGCTATCGTAACCGTTTGGAACGTTGTGCGATACGGAAACCAGTGCACTTCCGCGAATATACGCTGTATGAGTAGTTTTCTGACAAGTTTCTTCATTAATATTATTATTATAATATTCTTCAGTCCGTCGCTAGTCGAGTACCGATACTCCGAGTAGCTGAAACACGCGAGTGACCGGAACCTATATAACACTGTCCAGCTCCACCCTATATGCCTGTGCGCCTACAGTTGATAGAGAATGGACGAGCACGACAGAGACATTGATATATCTGTTCGAGAAGGTAACTAAATTTCTATTAGATTGCTTATTTTATTTTTACAAGTACGCCTTTTTTTAGGAAGTTCTGGCAGCCGCGTTAAACAGCCCAAAACTCCCGAGAAACGAAGGTTAAACAAGCAACAAAAATATGTTGATAAGGATCCTGGACTATTAAAGTTTACGAGACCATGCAATCATAACACTACTAGTTATAACAGAAAACAGTCTGTCCGAATATACTTGCAAGCTAATTTGAGTATTGCCAAATTGCATAAGATTTTTAACTCACAGCAACCTGCACAATATAAATCGAGTTTATCCATGTTTTCTAGAATTTTTTGTGGAGAATTTAATATAGGTTTTTCATCACCTGCAGCAGACTGTTGTGCTCTATGCATACGTCTTAAAGACAATATAAGAAATGAAAAAGATCCCAAAAAAAAATCTGACCTGATGATCGAACGTCGAATACATAGAAAGAGGGCAGACGCTTTCCACAAACTTGCAAAAGAAGATTCTCCAAATTCAATAACTTTTTGCTTTGATATGCAGCAGGTGCAACCATTGCCTCGCACCCCCATTTCAGATGCCTTTTACTCTCACCAAGTGAGTCTCTACATATTTTGTTGCGTCGACATGAACTCAAGGCACCCTACATTTTACACCTGGACTGAGATACAAGCTGGTCGTGGGTCAGTTCAGATAGGTTCAGCTCTATTAAATTATTTGGATTCACTGGAACTCGAAGACATTGAAGTATTAAGACTATTTTGTGACGGTTGTGGGGGCCAGAACAAGAACTCGCATATTGTACATGCCCTTTATTTTTGGCTCAAAAATAGGCCCCCCGGCACTTTAAATGAAATCCAGTTGACTTTCCCAGTTCGAGGACATAGCTTCCTTCCAGCAGATAGGGTTTTTGGCCGTGTGGAAAAATCTTTAAGAAAAAACCCAACAATATTAAGCAAGGACGAATACTTTGAAAAATATTCTGAGTTTGGAACTGTGAAAGAACTTGGCATTGAGTGGAATCTTTACGACATTAAAAATCTGCAAGTTTGTCTTAAGAAAATTGTAGGTATTTCCGACTACAAGCGAATCCTTATCAAGAAATCCCGTAATAAAATAGGACAAGATATCGTGAAAGTACAATGTTATCAGAATTTTAGAATGGAAATTTTAAATGAAGTGCCCCAACAAATTCTTAAAAAACGAAAAGAAGTTCCAATAGTATTAGAAGAAATTCCTTTAACGCGATCTCTTCCCGAGAAAAAGAAAAAATCCCTAGCTCATCTGATGGCTCAACAGTTTGGTACAACCTGGGAGAATAATGAAAATCTAGCGTGGTACAAAAATATATTGCGTGAAGCTCCACTTGAAGCAGGTGCCGTCGAAGTTCAAGAACAAAATGAGAACGAACTTTGCGATTGCCTCGAGGATGACCAAGGAATACATATTTAAATCGTTCATTATTTTTTTAAATTTTTTGATTTATAATAAACGTTTGAAAATATATCTTTGCTTTATTTCAAAAGTACAACAAAGTTTTAAAAAGATATTATACTTAGATAATAATAAAAAAATAAAAAATAAATAAAAAGGCATAAAATAAAAAAAATAAATAAAATTAAAAAATGCCTTATTAACGTAAAAGACTTGCTATTAAACATATTTATATTAAAATAAATACTTTTTACATTATAAAGTTAGTTAACTCAAGCAAAAACAGATAAATCCATTTTGTAATTTGCAATAATTACTATGTTAATCATAAAAAAAAACAAAAGCAGTATTTAAGAGGTCTATATCACCATATATTTCAAATACACCATTTATTTTCTTGGTTAAATTTACGGACGCCCTAATGGACGGTTTTTTGCCATTATCTCGAAACTTTATGAAATGGATTTATCTGGTTTTGGCTGATCGCTCCTCGTTTGTGGAACTGTTTAAATTGTGGATGAAACAATTATAAATGTACTCCAACCACTATAAGTGTTATATCGCTAAAGTCGCAGTAGTTCGAAATGACTTTCGGCTTTATAATTGACAGAAGCCAAAAACGGCACGTCCTATCAATAAAATATATGTCGTAACTTTGGTCAGTCAATGAAAGACACTAAGAAATCATGGGAAGGCACATTTTTTAATACAAAGAAATTTTTAGGGGCATCCTGTTAGTTTGGAGCCATAGTCAATAAAAAATGGTTTGCTGAGAAACGGAATAGTAATGCAAACAAAAAATATTCTTTATTTCGTGATAGATCATACTGTAAAGCTATTACAACGTTGCTTATTCTGCAGATTATGAAATAAGTGGGCATTCTTGCCTTAATAACACCACGTATCCGTAACAACAAAATCATGTTGCGCACCATGAGGTGGCGTAAAAGCCTGCATCTTGTTGCATTGGAAACATAGCTTAAACAAGACATATATGTGTTTAAAGATATAGTAAGGTTTGAACTGCAAAGCTCTGCTTTCCATGAAGAGTTCTCGTTGCATTACCTGTTATACCACGAAAAATTTGTTTCACTATGCTCTTATGAGAAAGTCTGATTTATGATTAACGTATTAGAAAATATGCACTAACGTCCAAATGGATCTCACTATTGCTTTTTGGCCTACATAATTCATACACATATTCTGCAATACCTTGTATAATTATTACTTATTGGTAAGCAATACTACTAGATACAACCTCACAGTTATGCAGGGTGTTTCCAATCTCAGGAAATTTTGCTGAAATGGTCAAAGCAGACACACGACTTTGATTATGACTTTACGAAGCACCTTCAGGGTCAACTTGAAAGTTTTAAATAGAACCGTGTCTATTCGACACCACGGAAAGGGCAAGAAATTCTATATTTGGAAATTACCTCTACTACGAGACTGACCATGGCTTCAAGGTAATTTAGAGGTCAGATCGAAAATCCTATAAGGATGGTGTGTATTGACCCCTCAGATGAAAAGACCAAGTCATTTAGACTATCAGCTGAACATTTAAAACAGGCTCGTAATTTATGGACTACAAATAAAAAGGATTAAACATTTTGTCCGTGACCTTGACTTTGAGGTCAGGCTGTTTTGAGACCGCAAAATTTCCTTTCTTCTAATCGGCTAGGTCAAAATGATATGGTTTCATCTAAAATTTTCAGATTGACTCCTAAGTGACCTTGAAGGTGATGACCAAGATCAAGGTCATTCGAAAACGTACAATTTTCCTCCCTTTGAAGTCAGGTTCTTTTGCGACTGCAAAATTTCCTTTCTTCTAATCGGCTAGTCAAAATGATACGGTCTCATCTAAAATTTAAAGTCGACCCCCAAGTGACCTTGAAGCTAACCGCCAAGATCGAGGTCATCCAAGAACGTACAATTTTCCGTCCTTTGAAGTCAGGTCCATTTGATACCGCAAAATTTTCACTCAATAAGCCGCGGGGTCTAAATGATAACGGATTTATCTAAAATATTTGGGTCGACCCCTAGGTGACCTTGAAGGTCATGACCAAGATCATCCAAGAACGTACAATTTTCCGCCCTTTGAAGTCAGGTTCTTTTGATACCGTAAAATAACCACTCTATAAGCTGCTGGGTCTAAGTGATAACGGTTTCATCTAAAATATTCAGTTCGACCTCTAAGTGACCTTGAAGGTGATGACCACGATCGAGGTCATCCAAGAACGTACATTTTTCTGTCCTTTGAAGCCAGATTCTTTTGATGTCGCAAAATTTTCTTGCTCTTAATCGGCTAGATCAGAATGATACGGTTTTATCTAAAATTTTAAGGTCGACCACTAAGTAACCTTGAAGGCGATAGTCCAGATTAAGGTGATTCTTCCCTTTGAAGTCAGGTTCTTTTGATACCACAAAATTTCCACTCCTTTAATCGGCTAGGTCAAAATGAGACGGATTCACCTAAAACTTTTAGGGCGACCCCTAACTGACCTTGAAGGTTATAGCCAAGATCAAGGTCATTTAAGGACGTACAATTTTCAGCCCTTTGATGTCAGGTTCTGATGATACCTCAAAATCTTCACTCTTTTAATCGGCTTGTTTAAAATAATACGGTTTCATCTAAAATAGCCAGATCGACCCCTAAGTGACCTCGGAATTAATGACTAACATCAAGGCCATTCAGAAACGTACAATTTTCCGTCGTTTGAAGTCAGGTTCTTTTGATACCGCAAAATTTCCTTTCTCTTAATCGGCTAGGTCAAAATGATACGGTTTCATCAAAAATTTTTAGGTCGACCACAAAATGACTTTGAATGGATGGTCAAGACCAAGGTGATTCAAAAACGTACAATTTTCTTCCCTTTGAAGTCAGGTTCTTTTGATACCACAAAGTTTCCACCCTTTTAATAGGCTAGGTCAAAATGACACAGATTCATCTAAAATTTTTAGGCCGACCCCTAAGTGACCTTGAAGGTTATAACTAAGATGAAGGTTATTAAAGAACTTATAACTTTCACCCCCCTGATGTCAGGTTCTTCTGATACCGCAAAATCTCTACTCTTTTTAATCGGCTTGTTTAAAATGATACGGTCTCATCTAAAATAGCCAGCTCGACCCCTAAGTGACCTTGGAGGTAATCACTAAGATCAGGGCCATTCAAAAATGTACAATTTGCCGTCGTTTGAAGTCAGGTTCTGTTAGGTCAAAGTGATACGGTTTTGTCTAAAAATCTTCAAGTCGACCCCTAAGTGACCTTGAAGGTAATGCCCAAGGTCAGTGTCAATCAAGAGTGTACAATTTTCCACCATTTGAGGTCAGGTTCTATTGATACCACAAAATTTCTACCCTAGTAGATGTCTTATGGGGATTCGGTCTCAAAACTTCCAAAATCCGCCACCAGAGGCGCTGGCGTCGCGCGCCATTGACAGGTTGTTGGACGGAATCTGTAATCGAAATTCATGAGTTGGGGA